TGTGAGTGGGATTGGGTGGTTATAAATAGGAGCTGCCTCGTATGGGCCAATAGGCCTTCTGCAGTTACCTTGTTCTTATGTTAAATTTCTTTATCAGTTCCTCACTCCTAACTCGTCCAACATCATTACCCCCTGCATTAATACAAATAATGGGTTTGCTCCCATTTCCCGTTATAATATCTTTCATGTTGTCAACAATATCTCCAATTCCAGCTCCCAGATAGCAAACCCTTAACCTGTTGCCCCTATCTCTGGCACAAAACGTCCTGTCTAAATACATCACCTGGGAATCTCCCACAACCAAAATTCGTTTAGGTACCTCCTTAACTTTCTGAGCACTTTGAGGGGCCTGTGCTTCGTTGCTCTTCGTTGATTTCCGTTTCGAGTGAACTGCAGGCTCACCACAGCACTCGTCTTCCAACACGGCAAATGAATTTGATGTCTTTAGGGCGTCTGTAGGCAGCCTTGTGAAGGTCTTCTTAAGATCCCTGTCCTTAACGACCTTCCAAGACGAGGTCTTGTTAATATTGGTCTCCTTCGTTTCTTCCCGATGTTTCAGCTGTCGTACCTCCTCTCGGAGGGAATCAATCTCTGCTCTCAGAGTTCCACCTAGATTCATCAATTCCTTCACTAATCCTTCCATTATTGCAATAATAATGTTACTACAATCGGAGCTCCAGCTAACACAACCTCTCACTGTATATATCTCAAAAAAATTACAATGGTAAAGGTGTATGGCATAGGTACATATTTTGGGGAATTGGGTAGCACTAGATACAGTGCGAGTTTCAAGCCTAGTCACCTAGCAGTAAATAGGTACGGAGTTAGCTGCTAAGGGATGCTTCCTGGGGATGTTTTTTTTTAGAATGAGGGAATTATCAGGAGAAAGCGCGATGCCGATTGATTGACTGATGAAGATTAAGTCACCCAAGAGGTGGCACGGGCATGAATAGCCCGTAATGCGCGAAGCCATTACGACTACTGCAATCAATTAGCAATTGAAAGGGGACAGGATAAGAATTTGGGATAGGACGGGGGAAAGGAATGGTGTCGAACCACAGGGACGGTCGGGGATTAAATTCCGACCTGCTTGAAGCCAGACCGTTGCTCTACCGTCCAGCCCAAGTGGTTTCATTGATTGATAAATATTAAGCACACACAAGAGGTGGCACGGGCTGCCAGATTGCGCTACAAGTAGCGAATTGGGCTACTTTTGAAAGCCCTCCGCGCTCCCAATTTTTTTTATTTTGCTACTTGCGACTTTTTGGGCAAATTCAAAAGCAATTTGGGCTAATTTGGTCTATTAATGTTAACAAAACTCAATGATGATTATATATGCTTTATAATGTAATGTGTACAAATCATAGATGCGTCCAACAGCCTGATTGACTAGACCACTTACCGCAGGAGCCCTGGTCAGAGACCAGCCCCCTGGGGACGTTGATCCTAGGGACCTTCGAAAGAAAAAGGTAACCACAAGGCAAGGTAACCCTCCCCAGGGACCATAGATTTTCCCAACCTTAATTGTCATGAATACTTCATCCCGAAAGCTACAGCTGGTTCCACAGATCTTCATCAAGGAGAGAAAGTTATCTAGAAATTTACAGATAGATAAATGATGGGAAAGATCCCTTACAGTTAATACCTTTGTCAAGAAGACGATGGTTGGCAGGGAGCGGTAGTGTAAAGCGGCTGTTAGATCAGTGGGATTCTTTAACGACTCATTACCAAATCGCTTCTTGCTCTTGTGATAAATATGTTGCAAGACAACTATTTTCAGTGTACTCTGTTCTCACCAATTAGCCATATTTCACATTTCTCAAACCAATCCTAAATGATTTTGAAAAGATGAAATTACCTTGTAGCGAGTATAAAAAGATGAAGCAGATCAATGTAGCTTTCACACGACTTAGAAAACTTCACTCTTAGAATGCTCAGAAGAATCGTTCATACTCATCATGCAAAGCTTCATGATAATTTGGACTACAATTCCATATGTCTGCCCTTGGAGAAAGTGGACTTTGGTTACGAATTTTCAACACTTCTGGCAACTAAGAGACAAAACAATTTTATAACTCTGGAAAAGTTTCAAAATATTCAAGAAAAAAGCCATAATTTTTTAGTGAAAGCTTGCAAATAGCTTCTTTCTCGTATTCTAAGTAATGCTGAAACTTTCAAAAAGGTGAATTTCCGGGCAGTTTCCGAGCAGGACGGAAACGGTTAGGAACGTTTCCTTTCACCCGATTCTTCTGCTCACATAGGTACCGGGGAGTTAGATTGATTGATGAAGATTAAGCCACCCAAAAGGTGGCACGGGCATGAATAGCCCGTAAGTGGTGGCCCTTTTGAGCCATTACCAGTATCAAAAGCTGATACTGGAGATCTGTGGAGGTGCGACTGCACCCTGCGTGACGGGAGATGTCTCCCGTGTAGGGGGAGTTAGGCAATTGTTACATCTTGTGGGAGTTGGGTATAGTTGCCCCTAGCCCCTACAGGGGGGGGGGGGAATACCCGACACAGGGGAATTAAATTATAAAATGGCATTTCTGAATAAAAATTAAACTTACTTAAGTTTAGTTAATTTATTAGTTTACTGAGCGGCAGTGTAAAATTATAGAGGGTTCATCAACATCATGAATTCAGTAATTGAATCCCAAAATTAATTTAGCTCGACAAGTTACAGGCTTGATCAACTAGTTACATCACTTAATATATATATCAATAGTTGTTTAAGCATAATGAGTTGTATCTACATAAGAACATAAGAATAAAGGTAACTGCAGAAGGCCTATTGGCCCATACGAAGCAGCTCCTATTTATAACCACCAAATTATCAATTTAGTCAATTATTATTTTCTAAAGTAACTTCATCAATTTATCTGATGAATTTTTTGGTTTCACATGATTTCCTTGGCTATACATGGGATATATTTTTAATTTATCAAGAAATGCACTTTCTGACTTAACCGCAGTCGAGAAGAGTCTGGGCTACTCACAATGTCCATTACGGGCTATTCCTTCCCTTGTCACCTGTTGGGTGGCTTAATCTTCATCAATTAATCACAGTGTCCAGCAGTTACAGCCACGCACCTGTGCCAGGTAAGTCCACTACGGGATCACCATAGCCCGTGCTACTTGGAACTTTGTGTTCCGAGGGATTGAACAAAAATCACTAATCATCATGACAATGTGGCGCCCAGACTCTTCAGGATGTTACACGGCCACAGACCACATTCACTCCAAACATCTACCACCTAACTGCCTACCTAACTGCCTAACTACCTACCACCCATGGCTAACTGCCAACAAACTCACCCTCAATATTGACAAAACTTTCTATATTTTGTTTGGCAATAAATCCTCAAATCAAATAAATCTCAGGATTAACAATACCCAAATTTGTAACAAAGTAGATGGCAAAATCCTTGGCATTCTCATTGACCACAACCTGAATTTCCAGGGACACATTCTAAATATATAAAAAAAAATTCAAAACTGTTGGCGTTCTTTCTAAGATCAGATATTATGTACCACGCCCTGCCCTGGTGACACTCTATTACTCTCTCATCTATCCTTATCTCAACTATGGTATTTGTGCTTGGGGTTCTACTACCCAAAATCATTTACGTCCTCTAATTACTCAACACAAAGCTGCTATTAGGACAATATCTAACTCTGGCCCCGGACATCACTCGGTAACCTTACTCAAATCTCTGAATATGTTAGATATTAAGTCACTGCACATTCTCTCATGTGTATTATACATATATAAAACGCTGAACTGTAATGTCAATCCTGACCTTAAAAGCTTCCTAGAAGGTTGTAACAGAACCCATGAGCACCACACCAGAAACAAATACCTATTTGATATTCCAAGAGTACGACTTAGTCAAACGAGAAATGCTTTACAAATCAAGAAACCTCGAATGTGGAATGACCTTCCCAACCATGTTAAAGACTGTACCTCTCTCAACCAGTTTAAGATAAAAACTAAGTACCACCTAATTAACTCAATGTAACCTACGTCACCCCTAAATGTCAACCAATGTCTACGATTTTAAACAATGCTGTTTGTTGACCAAATTGTATTTTTGTTTTTTTTCTGCCATGTTCCCCCCCCCCTTTTTCATTTTTTTCTGATTTTTCCTCAACACAATTTATACTTTAATCTAAGTTAGTATTAAGTTTTAGTCTTTGTGTTTTTCCTGCCCGAAACGCTTTGCGTAATAGTGACTTTAGGCATTGTATGTACTAGCTCTATGTATGAATCCATCAACTTTTGTATTTCACCTTGTATGTATGTACTTTACCTGAATAAATATTTGTATTTGTACCTCCGGGCTACTCATGCCCGTGCCACCTCTTGTGGTGGCTTAATCATCATCAATCACTCACTATGGCGTAAGATCCATCGGGATGAAGGGGAAGACTGGTCTGTGGTGCAAGTTAACAGTTGGAGGCTTTCTTTTCTTTTCTTTGATGTCCAAAGAGCTTGGAAAGGATGTGGGAGGAAGAAGGATGGGGCGATGAAATTCTTGGAAGAGGATTTGGATGTGGAGAGAGGAGGCTTGAAAGTTCGGTGGCCTGTCCACCGTGGATTGGAGATGTTTTTTCAGTCAAAGCCTGTGGCTTGAGTTCTTCTTACGCAGCAGGAGGCTAGTGGTGAGGGGGAGTGATGCAGTCCTGGTTCACTTGAGGTGTTCTGTCTGGCTTGGAGGAGGCGTCTTCCTTATGATGTTGTTGGATCTGTACGTTCTCTTAGCTTAGATACGATCTTGAAGTTTCGCCTGAAGTATCCGAGCGTGAGCTTTGGTGTTGGGGTTCCTTCTGGGTCTTCAGCAGCGGTAGAGAAGTCGATTTGATTCATCTTTTCTTCCCTGAAGATTGGGTCGATGTAGTTTATGTTCAGGATGGAGAGGCCGATGTATCGCTCCACTGTGGAATAGTGGACGAACATGTAGTGGGGTAGTTTGGCTTTGTTCTTGCTGTAGATGCGCCTGTTACATTCTATGGCACAGGGCTTTTCTAGTAGTGCTGTTGCCATTGAAGACTACCTCCTGGTCGATAAAGAGGCAGTAGCAAGGTTTGCTTCTGTCCGGTATGCCTGGTATGGCTAATGGTATTGGGTGGATGTAGGTGACTTCCAGCTCTTCAAGCTCTTCAAGTTCAGTGTCTGGTGCAGATGCTTGCTGTGCTGCTGCTATGGCCGGGGTCTGTGTCATTGGAGTGGGTGCCTGAGGTGCTGTTTCAGTTGGGGTTCCAGTTGGTATTCCAGAGGTTGTCGGTGTTGTGGTTTGTACTGGTTCCATGGTAGATGTTTCTGTTTCTGCCGGTCGGCGTTGCTGGAGTGCTGTCCATGAATGGGGGCTGCTTCTCCTCCTTTGTTTTTTGGGTGGAGGGGTCTGGGGTGACGACCGTTGGCCTGTAGATTTTGTTTGTTTCTTGTTGGTGAAGCGGGAAGCGGTAGCCGATGGTCGAGGTACAGTTCTTGTAGTGGGTTCTGAGGCTGGTTGAGGCTGAAGCAGGTCCACAGGGATTGACATCGTAGGTAGGTTGTGCTGGGCGAGAAGCATGTTCAATGCTCTCACGTATTTGGCGATGTCTGCTCCTGCCTCCTTCTCAGCTACACTGATAAAGATTAAGCCACCCAAGAGGTGGCACGGGCATGAATAGCCCGTAAGTGGTACAATTTTTTTTTTCCCAGTGTTCTGAGGTTGCATTTAACCATCCAGCTGTTATCGTGGGGGAGGATACCCAGGTGTTCACCAACTGGGAGATTGGTGAACCCCGAGAGAGAGAGTGCATCTTCTGCCAAACTGTCACAGAAAAGCCATTACTTCACTATCTTCTGGAATGTGAAGCAACCAATGACCTTAGAAGAGCTTTAAGAGTTCCTGAATCATGCAGTGGCCACCCTGAAGCCATCAACACAGCCACTCTCCTGGTCAACAAAGGTGTCCAGCAGCTGGACACCCTCATAAAGACTGTGAACAAAATGTCCTCTGCATCAGCTCTATCCTCACAGTCTTTATGAGGGTGTCCAGCTGCTGGACACCTTTGTTGACCAGGAGAGTGGCTGTGTTGATGGCTTCAGGGTGGCCACTGCATGATTCAGGAACTCTTAAAGCTCTTCTAAGGTCATTGGTTGCTTCACATTCCAGAAGATAGTGAAGTAATGGCTTTTCTGTGACAGTTTGGCAGAAGATGCACTCTCTCTCTCGGGGTTCACCAATCTCCCAGTTGCACCTGTAACCTAGACGTAGTCTATATAGCCTAACTGCTATTTCCCTGTGGATTCCTTTTGGGATATTTAACCTTTCTAATTTGGTTGCCTGAAGATACCATGTTGCAGATGGTGAACCTTCAGCTATTCTTTGGTGTAGGTAGGCTTTGTTGAGATGTGAGAGTTTTTTGGTGATGATGTTTTTTATGTTCTCTAGGCTGGGTTGAATTGTTTTATGTATCACTGGATGACGAGTTGCCAATTTAGCAATTTCATCAGCTTTTTCATTTAATGGGATTCCAATATGGGATGGGATCCAGTTTAAAGTTATGTTGAGGCCTTTGCCTTTAGCGACTGCTCCTTGATACAAAATGGTGGTAATTATTTCCACATTATCTTTCCACTGTTTTTGTCCTAGTATTTGAAGTGCAGCTTTTGAGTCTGTGTGTATGATTGCATTTTTAGTGTTTTGTGCAATCACATATGCGAATGCCTGTTGTATGGCGAACAGCTCAGTTTGGGTTGATGATACTAGTCCTCCCAGTCTCCAATATGCCTGAACGCTGGTCGTGCAAAGAGCAGCGCCAGCACTCTCATTTTCTGTGTCCACCGATCCGTCTGTGAAGATGTGGGTGGCTCCTGCTACTGCTATGCTATACATTTGCTCTTCTATTATGCGCCTTAGGATTGTCGGATCATAGGCAGCCTTTTTCATTGGGAGACTTTCTATTACTATTTTGAAAGTAGGCTCTTCCCACGGCGCGGAAGGAGTGTAATTTGGGTGTGGATGATCACCCTCTCTATCAAGAATCATGTTTTTTAAATGTAGTCTGTTTAGGACTTTTCCTGCTCTTGCAACCCAAGAGTTTCCATTGTTTTGGCCTAGTCCAACCACCAAAGCCTGCCGTACTGAGATTGGATCAGAAGAAATAATTATCTTACTGATAATTGTAGCTGTCCTTTGTGATATTCTTTCTTGTAGAGAGGGCAAACCCGTCTCCAGTCTAAGAGTTTCAAGCCTGGTCCACATGGGGGCTCCCAGTGCAGCTCTCATAGCATTGTTTTGGGCAACTTCAAGCTTTTTCCACTGTTGGTGTGATAGATTTGTGAGTGCAGGTGCGGCATAATCGATCACTGATCTGACTGCCTGTACATAGTATGTGCGAAGGACTTGCAGATTGGCTCCTCCAGAAAGGGAGGTTAGCGACCTGAGGATTGCCGTCCGGGCCGCAGTTCGCTCTCTCAAGTAAGTGACCTCAGCATTGAAATTCATGTGTGTGTCCAGGATGATTCCTTGATACTGATAGGTGTCGACCCATTCTATTGGTTGACCCTGTACTGTGAGTTGGATGTTGGGCTTCGCTATTTTTATGGGCATGGCCTTTGACTTTGAGGGGTTGAGTTTGATCCCAATCTGTTTTGCCTCTTTACTGATGCAGTCTAAGCATTTGGGTGCAAGGCGCGCCGCATCCCTTCCTTTTATGATGATGACAAAGTCGTCCGCGTAGTTTAGCAGCCTGCAGTGATGTGGGAGTTTCAACCTCATTATTCTTTCCATTAAACAGTTGAAGAGAAGAGGGCTAAGAATACCTCCTTGCGGTGTACCATTTTCATGTCTTTTGTACTCAGAGACTGTGCCATGAAGTTTTACTCTTGCTTCTCTGTTTATGAGACAGTTTTTGGTCCAGGAGAGCAGGTTGCCTCTGACCTCTTTGTCAATGAGGCAGCAGAGAATAGCTGGGGCGCTAGCCAGTTCAAAGGCTTTTTCGAGGTCCAGGAATATCAGCATCCCTGGTCTGTCATTCAAGTGGGCTAACAGAGTTGTAATACATTCCACTGTGCCAACCCCTCTTCTATAGGCATACATATCATGGTGCAGTTTAGGCATTTTCCACTCCAGTCTGTTGAGTGCCATTCTGTCAGCCGTCTTGGCTGTACAGCTTTGGAGAGAGATGGGCCTGGGATTTGCTGGATCTTTGGGTTTTGGGATCGGCACTATGTCTGCTCTATTCCAAGCAGAAGGTCTAGTTTGAGAAGTCCAGGCTAAATTAATTAACCTTAGGTATGCAGCGTCTCCCTCTGGGCCGAGGTTTCTAATCATTTTATAGGTTATTTTGTCGGCTCCAGGGGATGTATCCTTGGAGTTTTTCTTAGCCCGATTGAGCTCATCCAGTGTGAAGGGGGCATTAGTGTCAGAGACTTCTTCACATGCTGTAAGGATTCTGTGCCACCTTTCTTCCTCTAGTTCGGTCTGTACTGCTAATACATCTGGTGGAAGTTGATTGCTGGCTGCTCTCTCTGCAAACCTGGTTGACAGTACTTCGGCTTCCTGTTGAGGATCCTTGGGGTGTGGAGCTTTAGGTGTTTTATTCCCTTTGGCCCGGTGAATTTGCTGCCACATCTCCCCGAGAGAGGTGTGTTCATTCAGGTGTGAACACCATTCTAGCCACTTTTGTTCTTTTATTTGTCTGGTCTCTCGATGTACATGTTCCTTGACCTCACAAAGTAAGATCCTGTTGCGGGCACTTGGCTGCTTTTTGTATAGCTTTCTTGTTCTATTGAGTCTATGGTTGAGTTCTTTGACACGTTCGCAATAGTACCAATGATCTTTATGGTGTCCGGTGGACTGTTTTTTCAGTGGGATTGAGTGGTTGGCTGCACTTTGAATCGCTTTGACAAATTCTTGTTCTGCCTGATTAATGTCTTCGGGAAGATCATAGTTTCTTTGCCACTCTGAAATGAGGTTTTGAAATCGGTCCCAGTTTGCTAAAGCAAAGTTCAGCTACACTGATCAGGCATGGGATAAGAGAGGTGTTGGCCGAGGTCGCTGGTTGTCGAGTTGGTTGGCTGAGCTGCAGTCGCCTATGTCCTGGGACCCCATTGGGGGGTGGTCTGGCCTGGCGTGGCAGTAGGAGGCGGTCTCCCTCACAAATCTTATCGAAAATGTAATTCGGAGTCAGAATCATAAACTATTCGTAACAACCTATACGAACCGTTACAGTTACGTCTGGTCTGAGCAGCAATATAAATCAAAGACTTTTCTTGGCATAATGTGAATAAATAACATTAGGCTTACAATATGAATGCTTATATATACTGCAAGTAAAACACTGTTTAGTTTAACATACGCGTTATCGTATAATTAAATTATTCATTGATACGATCTTGATATTTCGAAGGAATAAAAGAATATTATAAATTAATATTGCCCTGAATAACTTGGGATAGTTTCAGCTTTAACCTCGTGATTACCAATATTCCGCTCACATCTTTAAGTTAACAATTGGCAGGAGCTACAACACCTATATGTAGCAGGAAAAGAGATCACTGTGATAATGTTACTTGTCTCAGTAAGTATAACAAGTATCAACATTTAACAAGGTAAATAACAGACCCTTCTGGCTAGACTGAGCACTAGATACAAACACACTTGGGAACATAATGGCATCTATGACCCTTTTTACACTCAATACAGACTATATGTTAGAGACCTGCCTCGCATACACCTGTCGCAATATTTTGTATTTTTTACAAAAATTGGAAAATGTATTTTTTCTTTTATATTTTTGTTTAGTTCACTTATTATCCCCCATCCTGTGGGTAGTAGTGGAAGAGATCACAGAGGCACAGATAATCAACTTTCATTATATTTAATCAGAACTACTTCAGCAGGCGATGCAATCTCCCAGAGGTACTTACAGCTGAGACTGTGATCAAACCTCCACCCACCTGTCACTCCAAGGATATACTACTCTCTAAAGCAACACCTTTCATATCTCTTCACTTCTGGGGAAGCATTAGATGTCATTAAGAGATGTACTAAACTTGGGCTTAATAGTTAATGTTGTAACACTCGATAAATTACATCTCTCTAAACAGTGACAGTACTGGGCAGCGTCACTCATCCTGTGAGTGAACATAGAACCATAGTGACAGTATTGGGCAGTGTCACTCATCCTGTGAGTGAACACACCACCATAGTGACAGTATTTGACAGCGTCACTCATCCTGTGAGTGAACACACCACCATAGTGACAGTATTGGACAGCGTCATTCATCCTGTGAGTGAACACACCACCATAGTGACAGTATTGGGCAGCGTCACTCATCCTGTGAGTGGACACACCGCCATAGTGACAGTATTGGGCAGCGTCACTCATCCTGTGAGTGAACACACCGCCATAGTGACAGTATTGGGCAGCGCCACTCATCATGTGACGATGGGATTCATTATATTGTGTATATCTATAATATCTTATAAATGTGTAGTGTCTTGCGTAGTGGTCAAATACAGTATCCACATCTCATGCCGCAGATTCT